GCTTAAGTCAAAGATTTCAATGTAAAATTAAGAATAGAGTCTATTTTCTCCTTGCCCCAAGGCTGTAAGTTGTCTGACTTCTCTCATTTCTGCTTCGTTCCATCCTCAGGCCTTGTTACTAAATTTAGCACATCTCATCATTTTTCCCTTTCTGGCTTCAGTTGATCTGTCTATTCAATCTTTCATGGTAAGATCTGCCTCCATATCTGATTCTTCCTTATAATTCAGTTATGGCAGAAGCTAGGTCAATCACCCTGTAAACATCCCTTAACCAGATGCCCTCCTGGTTTTTCAAAAATAAAATTAAATTTAGGCAATGTATATATTCACAGAAAAATTGAGAGACCAGTACAGGGCATTCCCATATAGGTCATTCAGTTTCCCTATTAATATCTTAAATTAGTATAGTATACTTTTTAACATAAAGAGCCAGTTTTGAAGCATTATTATTCACCAAAGTTTTATTCAGATTCCCTTGTCTGTTATCTTTGCTCCTGAATGCTCTTTTTTATATTCCACGGGCAGTGGAAGTTTCCATTTTTATTTTATGATTGCTATAAAAATCCCATGCTGAAATTCTAACCCTGTGGTGTCTGGGGGTGGGGTCCTTTGGGAGGGGACCAGATTGTAACACTGGAGCCTTCATGAATAGCATCAGGGACCTTACAGGAGACTACAAGTTGGTCTATGAATCAAGAACTGGAACCTCACTAGACACCAAGTCTGCCAGTCCCTTCATCTTAGGCTCCCCTGACTCCGGAACTGTGAGAAATTCAAGTTTTAGTTGTCCGTAAGCCATCCAGTCTAGGCCATTTTCATCCTGAAACTCCAAAGAGCTAAGATTACGCCTTGACAATTTTGAAGTTTGCCGGTCAACTACGTTATGACCTCCTTCTGCTGAGACTAGCTGGGTGCTTTCCTCACACTTCAGGCCAGAACTCTCTCTTTTGATGGGGAAGGCCGCAGGCAAAACAGCGGTGCTCACCATATCACCTCGATGGCCCTCTGTCACTGTGGCATACCCATGCAGGCGCTGATCTTGGTTGTCAGGTCACTGTTGGTCACGTTCTCCCAAAGCTGCGAAGTTGCTCTGTGGCTCTCCTCTCTTTATACTGTCTGCTCGTGGGAAGGACGTCACTATTGAGCTATGCTCTACCTGAGAACAAAACAGCTTTGAAAATGACCTCGAATTTCTCCACGTGGAGGATTCTTTGCCTACACGCACCCGTATTCCATATCAGAACAGATGTATGGATATTAATTTTCTACCTTGCAATAAAAATAAATAAACAAACCAAAAGTGAAGCTGCTTTAATTTGTTGCTCAAGTTGTTTCTGCCTTGGAAACTCTTCCAACAGTGACGGTGACGTCCTTTTTTTCATATGTCAACAGTGTGGGCTTCTTCTTACGTTTTTGCTCTTCTTTTTTGGGGTGGTGGTGGTGGTGAGCTTCTTTCCTGACTATTGTTCTTTAAAAAATAATATGATGTTGGTGTGCCCCGAACGACCTACAAGCCAGGCAGAAGCTGGCAGCAGAGCTGGTCCCGTCATGCAGCAGGGGAGAGTCAGGCAGGCAGGTGCAGCGGATAATAGTAAACAGACATAAGGCTAGACATAAAGGTAAACATTTATTACTTAAAGAAAGGGAGACATAAAGACATGGAGACAAACATAGAGAGAGACAGAAACACGTGTGCACACGGCAAGAGATGGACAGAAAAGGGGGAGCCAAGATGGCGACGAGGTCAGAAGTGGCTAGAAGTGGGCGTGGTTAGCCCTTAAAGGGACCAGAGAGAGCATAAGGAATAACACTGACATTAGAAGATGGTTGATGCTCACTGTACACTCACTCACTGAGAATCTTTCTGGCCTTGCATTGGAATTTTTCTAAGAAGCATTGTTGTAATATTCCATTTGTATTTTAATAAGTAAAGCTTGCCTGAAGACCAGAGATTAAAACAGCCTCACTGGTTAGCCTTACAGACTAGTCAGTGGTGACATACACCCCTAATTCCCAGTAGCCACACTAGTTACCATAGAAACCATGCAATAGTGGTGTATGCCTTTAATCCCAGGCCTAGAGAAGAATATAAGACAGGAGGAAACAGCTCTCACACAGTCTTATTCTGAGAATTCCTGGAGGCAGGATCACCATTTTGGACTTAGGTAGAAGAGTCAATGGCTGGCTCTTTTGATTTTCTGACCTTCAGGTTGAGCCCTAATATCTGTCTCTGGGTTTTCATTAATCGTGTTTCAGAACATTGTTTTCCTGTATTGGGATATGATGTTCTAAGCACATCTGGGCTCTCAGTGAGTTGTTATCCTCAGGAATCATTGCCTCTGTGGTTCTCTCAACTCACAGAACCACAACAAGGTAAGGTGTTTATTAATCCTTGAGTGTAGACATTCCCACAAATGCTTCTATGTTTGATGCCTCTAGGTTTACACAGGCCAAACATAAACTTACAAACCCATGTCAAGCTTTAACCTGTTATTATAATCATAATGCTATCTTCGGGATGTTTTGGAGGTAGTCTTTTGAGTTATTATAGATTGGACCAAGATTCACACTTCATTTTATAGTAGCAGTAATAATCATAAACCTGATGAACACCATAATTCTTAACACTCTGCTTGTATGAGGCTCTGGGTTAACTTCCTACAATATTGTAACCCTGAGAGGAGTCTGTTTTCATTTTAAACAAAGGGGCAATGTGTAATTTATTTCTCTGTCTTCTAAAAAATTATCATTTGGGGCCCCTATTATCTTCCAAGAATAGCCAGGGTGTTACCTTTTGACTCCATGGACCGTTATCCACATGGAACAGCTCTAGGCATAAGGCTCAGTCTCCCTCCAGCCCTGACGACTGTGGAGGCTGCTTCTGTGTGGCAGGGTAGAGGACGGGAATGCAGGGACAGGACAGATGCAAAGCGTCATCTGAAAGACACGGTGCCTGAGTTTGCTCTCCTGTCGCTGTGATGAACACTCTCATCAAAACAATTGTGGAGGGAAGGGTTCGTTTGGACTATACGTTCCCCCGTTACAGTCCGCCACCGAGAGAAGTCAGGACAGGAAGTCAGGAAGAAACCACAGAGGACGACAAAGCTGCTTCTTCATCTTGGTGGTTTCACAAATGATGTGATTTTAAAAGCCAGGTTGGGAAGAATCTCCAGGCAATAAAATGCCTGTCCTAACAAGCATGAAGATCTGAGTCTGGATCACTGACACCCACACAAAAGCTGGGAGCGGTGGACATCCTGTAACCCTGAAACTGGTGTGCGAGGATCCCCAGCGCTCACTGACCAGCCATTCTAGATAGCTAGTGAGCTCAGCGTTCAGCATTAGACACTTTCTCAAAAATAAGGGAGAGTGCAGTAGAGGAAGACGCACAGCACTGACTTCTGGCCTCCATGCACATGCGAACATGTACCTGCATGTCTTATGCACACACACAAATAATTACACATACCTATACTACACACACACACACAAACAAACAAACAAACAACAACAAAAATCCACCATGTCTTTTTAATACCCCGTGAAAATTTTCTTGCAGTTGGTCTGGGGTGTGACCCTGGGACTGGAAGTTTTCAAAAGGGTTTTATAGGCCTTTTGCAAGGTGACCCTAATGTTTAACCAGGGCTATTTGCCAGTCCTTTGAACTTTAGTCAAACCAGGGCTATTTGCCAGTCCCTTGAACTTTAGCCAGATTATGACAATTGTATAACACCAATTGCCTCACCATGCTACGACTATCTCAGTAAATGGCATCTCTGAATCCTGCTACTCAGGAGACTAAGAAAAGATATCCCCAGGCACCCTTGCTGCTGCCCCTCTTCTTAGGATGCTGGCCTCAACCTCTGACAGAAGACACAGCACTGAGCTTCTGCCCTCAACTCCAAGAACGGCTGCATTTACTATGTCCGCCTCTGGGGCCTGAGGGGGACCTTCCATCTTCCCATTGGAGCCTGGTACCATATCCATTTAACAGATCCGTACCTGGGAACCTGAGGGAGCTGAGTGGCTTCCACTAAAACCGTGAACCTGAGTCTGGGTGAGTTCTGAGCCCTACAAGGAACTGGCAACCCAGACTATGACTTGAAACTCAGACCTTCTTCAAAGCCACCTCTTGCCTTCCTTAAATACACACAGGTTCTTAGTATATGAACTAATCTTCGGTGGGGGGCACCTTGCTGAAGCCAAGGGTCCTGAACCCCAGGTTGTCAGCATTAGGTCCTAAATAGCCCCTACTTTCCCATTCTTCTTCAGAAATTAAAGATCTGAAGGCATTTGAACTTACTGCTAAACTCCGGGGGTGGAACGGTGCCCTATCTCTGACCCCCCTCCCACTCTTCTCTGTGTCTTTGTCATATCCACAGTCAGCGCCCCACCCCATCTAACTGTGACCTGTGGCATATCCATATACCCTATGTACCAGGCTCCACACCACTGCCCAGAGCCCATGGTCAATGCAGTCTCTCGTTGTAACCACACCTATCATTGGCCTCTTCCCTTCTCTTCCCAAAAGAGTTATCATCCAGGACGTAACCGGTCCTGGCGCTGACCCTGCTCCCCATTTATAGTCACTTAATCCCCATATTCCACCGTTCAACACTTGTTACACCCATCTCTTCTGTTCCCCCATTGCCCTAGGGCAGGTATAGTCTCAGAAGCCAGACTATCTCTCTTATCCCTAGTTTCCAGAACCCAAAGACAATTTCCCGAACATTGCGTCTTTCCTTCCTCTGCCGGGACTCCTGAGTAAGTAAATTTCTGCTCAGGCTCCAAAGCCTGCTTCTCCTAGCCCTCCAGATGGCCACTTGAGCCTGTATCCACCAAGCTTCAGCACCACAGGCTCAGCTTCAACCCTAACCTGAGGGCCAATCCTGAGGAGGCTTTCAGTTTCTCTGAAAGTCCTAAGGAATCTTCTCGGCTCAGCCTGAGAGCCCCATCCTGATTGGCTGCTGCCGGGGCCTCGCGAAGCTCCGCCCCGAGGAGCTGTCCTCTGCGGGAACCCGGAAGTGCGAGCCTGGAGATGGCGGGGGATAGGAAAGTGGAGCTCAGCGAGGCCCTGGCGCTGGGGCAAGGCTGGCGCCACGCCTGCCACGCGCTACTCTACGCACCCGACCCCCGCAAGCTGTTCGGCCGCTTCCCGTTGCGCTTCGCCGTGCTGGTGAGGACGCGGCGTGCCGGCCTGCTCCCCGCCCCGCTGCCCGCGCGTCCCGGCCAACCATCGTCCCTCTCCTCCCCCAGATGCAGATGCGCTTCGACGGGCGCCTAGGCTTCCCCGGCGGCTTCGTGGACGCGCAGGACAGCAGCCTGGAGGACGGACTGAACCGTGAACTGCGCGAGGAGCTTGGCGACGCGGTGACCGCCTTCCGAGTGGAGCGCTCCGACTACCGGAGCTCACACCTCATGGCCGGACAGCGCGTGGTGGCCCATTTCTATGCCAAGCGCCTGACGCCGGAGCAGCTGCAGGCGGTGGAAGCCAGGGCACCTCAAGCCAAGGACCACGGGCTGGAGGTGGGACCAGCCTGGGACCCTGTCCCATGTCTCTCACCGAAGAAAGCCACTGGGTGGAGGAGAGTTTGACATGGCACTCTCTCAAGTGGCATGAACTAGTTGGGATCATGGTCATTTCCAAGCTGGATAACACCACCAACTTGGTCTCCCTTAGTAACTTTTGCAGAGAGATTTCTAGAACACACACGCAAGGCTTTCTTCTGCTCCCTATGCTAATACTCATGACAGTCCAAACGCTTGACCTTGGGCCCTTATTTTCCTTTAGCAGGAGGTAGGCCAGTGATTCTAACGCTAGGGAAACGTGTGTGTGTGTGTGTGTGTGTGTGTGTGTGTGTGTGTGTAGGTGACTGTCCAACTGCAGGTGGGGACAATATTGAAACAGGTTACCATGCACACTTTGGCAGTGTGTAGACCGAATCAGTGTGGTGTATCAGAATCAATCACTGGTTGAGTGAGGAGGTCAGAGGGAGATTTGGGTATTTGCCTTTTTTTTTTTTTTTTTTTTTTTGATCACCCAAGTGACACCTAGACAGTTGTGTAAGTTCTGTGATTGGAAATACTGCTACAGCCATGCCTGGTCGCTGGAGGCAGTAGCCAGTGAGGATGAGGGAGAAGATGGAGCAGGATTAGCATGGATGGAGCTTGGTACCCAGCATGGGTCATTTGTAACCTTTCCTGAGGTGTGATTATTGGGGCCAGTTCTATCTCCACTCTGGAGAGCTCTGTTCCATGGTCGGTAAGGGAATGTGTTGAGATACTTGAAGTACCGCATGTCTTGCCTGTCTGCTTTTCGTAGGTACTGGGCCTGGTGCGGGTGCCTCTGTACATCCTTCGTGATGGTGTGGGAGGCCTGCCCACCTTCCTGGAGAATTCCTTCATTGGTGCTGCCCGGGAGCAGCTACTAGAAGCCCTTCAGGACTTGGAACTTGTGAATCCTGGCATTATTGCAAACCTCAAGAACCCAGCTTCTAAGTAGAACCTGCCCACCATGGACCCATGGAAGCCAAGATGAAGGCTTCGGTTATAAGGGAAGGAGGGAGGGAGGGAAAGGCAAATGCATTCTCTTTGGGGGCTGAGGGGTGAAAGTTGATACAAGATTAAAGGCAGAGGTGTGTTTACAACAGAGGACCTTGTCTGATGGCATTAGGGATCAAAGACCTTGGTTGTATCTGAGTCCCTCTTTATACATGGATAACAGCCTGGAAACTCCAGGTATGCACATGCGCAATCTGTGATCACACAGCTGGCACATTCTCGTCTGTCCAGTTTAACTGTGATGTGGCATCAGGCACATCCAACTCCTTCCTAGTAAATAATGGTAGGGTTTGGGTTCTTTCCCACCTGCTGCAAGGGCTGCAGTCTAGGATCCAGCCCACCCCATTCTTGTTAGGGAAGCAGAGGAGGGGGTTTCTCCCTGAGAATGGCCATGGGGTTGAGGGGAGGGTACCTGAGGCCTGAGCAAAGCTGTGGCTTTCAGAAAGTTGGATAAGGCCCTAACCAGCCCTGTGCTCTTCTTCCCCAGCTGCTGAAGGTTGGCACACGTCAAGGGATTCTTGGGCTGAACTTAGACCTGAGACTCCAGTCCTGATGCCTCTCTTCCAGTATGTTCATCTTTCAGCCCCCTTTGTTTCTGTCTAGCCTGCCCTGCCAAAAACAGTCATCCAAAAAGGCAGGCTGGGGCTCCGATCCCGCCAGTTCTTTCAACAGAAATGGGTTAATTAACCCCTGCTTGGTGACTGGTATGGCAACTGAAATAGAGGCCCATTACTCTTGTCCTCCAGACTTCTGAGTGAGGAGTAGGCACACTGCATCATAAATCAATAGCACTACATGGTAAATACTATAAGCCTTGTCTGGCACGTGGTGCTCAGGAACCCTTTAACTCTGTCATGTCAAACTTACCTGCATGATACATGGTTTGTGTTGTTATGTCCCAATAAAGCACTAATGAAAAAAGCAGGTGTTGGACTAGACCATAGCTCTGTGACTGCTCTACTGGGAAAGCTAGGGTACTGCTTGCGGCACGGGTGTGTGTATACGTTTACAAGAGAATAAATGACAGAACGGGTGTGGTTCTATTGACATTCTTTTACTTGAGTTGGTCTGGAACGGCCCTGGTAGAGAACATTAGGCAGAAAGAAGAGAGGGATAATCACAAAGGAATCTGGAAAGAAGCGTCTAAAAGGGCATTGTGAAGGGCCTGCGGTGGGAAGAATCTTGTCAGAACATCCCCAGGACGTACTTCTTAATTGCGATCTTGCAATGTGTTTGACAGTCAAGTAACTTACTTATTTCAAGAGCATCCGTGTGACTGATGTGGGTCTTCTGAAAATTCTCAGAGGGGCTGGGGATGTAGATCATGTAGCTTTGCCTAGCATGCATACAACCCCGTGTCTAAACCCTGGCATTGCATAAATAACACCTGTAACTCCAGTGCTCAGGCAGGAGGGTCAGAAATTCCAGATCATCCTTGGCTACAAGGCCAGCCTTCAGTCCATGACAACCTGCCGCCACAACAAAAGTCTAGATAGTATTGACCTGGTAAATAAGGCCTGTCGAGAGAATTCAAGGTAGCTTCATTCATAGATCTGACATCTTAGTAGAGATGGTTCAAAGGCTCGGCTCACCTGGGACCAAAGCCCCTGTATGTTGCCTCCCGGACATGGTGATCTAGTTAGATGAGATTCCTCCATAACTTGATGCCGAAGGGTACCGAGAGCCTAGGGTAGAAGCTGCGGGATGACGGATAGTTGTTTAATACTATAGTCAAGGGTTGGGGATTACACTCCTTCTCTTGGTGGTTGTATAATGGGAGAAGTGATAAAGAATCTGCCACCAACACTGGCAAGAGCCTTGTGTAGAACAGAACAGGACCAATATAACTAGACATCAGTAAGCAATGGAAGGCTGTGTTTGAGAGGTGGCAGCCCTTTTGGTACAAAATCATACAGGCATGGGCGTGGCCAAGTGCATATTTCAGGCAAGTCACTTCTGGTGTGGATCAGAAATCGGACACAGGTTTTCATGGGAGAGGATGGTGACCTGCATCAGGACTGGGCAGGGAAGGTGTTCTCAGACAGACATGGGAAGTGGGAGGGGGTCGTGGTGTTATCTGACAGAGCCTGGTTGAACCTGGTTGTTGGAAGAAGGCAGGGGATTCAAGAATGGCTTTAAATTTTGAACTACAAGGTGTTCGTGTTGTGGATGAAGACAAAACCCAGTGGATAGGGGAACAGGATTTGAAGACATGGAGACATACATCTGTGAGTTAACTCAGTAGACAGCATGAAAACTATCCGTAGAGAAAAGAAGTGGGCAGGTCAAAGCCCTGAGGATTGAGAGGACAGGTAGGACATGGTAAAGGAGACAAGGAGCAAGGGGAAAGCTGGATTAACAAACTCAACAATTCTAGGTGCTTCGGAGAATTTTAGTGACTTAGGTCAGAGAAGCCCATTGGATTGAGCATCGAAGCTTTTGATGGCTTTGCTGGAAGCAGTGTCAGGAATGTGAAGGTAGAGGGCAAATAAACTGGCTGACAGCACACTTCCCAGGCAAGGCTGAGCTGCGAGGTGTTCAGTTTAAAGGAGAAACCAACCTATACATTCAGAGTTCATTTCCATAGCTGGTTGCTAGAGTGGGAAGTCAGACATTCTATTGGGGCAGGGGGGGGCAGCGCTGTACAAGAGACTGACTGCCAGCTTGATTGGGTTCTGAGATGCCTATGAGCTTAGTAAAGGACACCTAGGTGTGGCTGTGAGATTGTTTCCAGAAAGATCATGATAGCCTTGACCGACTGGACAAAGTTCTGGAAAGCAATGCAGAGTCATGTAGACACCAGCCACTGGATGGGTTGAATGGTGGAAAGAAGCCGAAGTGATCCCACTATTCCTACAGGGCTGTGGTGTTAATTCTTCCCCAGGAGACAAACATCTACTCACTCCAGACTGGACACCAACAAAACAGCAAGAACCAAGTACACCCAAGTCCAGCTTTGCCAATCAATAGATTTATAGTGTATATAGTTTTACTTTCTCATCAGGACTACCAGCCCCCAAATAATGACACGAAGACTTATTATTAATTATGAAAGCTTGACCTTTAGGCTTATCCTACTAGCTTTTATAACTTAAGCTGTTTATATTAAACTACATTCTGTCGTGTGGGTCTTTTACCTTTCCATTCTGTATGTCTGTTCCGTTCTGTATGTCCGCATCTCACTGGTTTCTCCAACCATGCCTAATTCTTCTTCCCAGCATTCCTCTTTTTTTTTTTCCAGGAAGCCCTGCCTATTTTCTCCTGCCTAGCTATTCAGCTTTTTTTTTTTTTTAAAAAAAAAAACTATCAGAAGGCCCTTAGAAAAGACACATTTTCACAGTGTACAGTTATTCAGCAACAGGAGCTATATGAGGGATTAGAGGAGAAAGAGAGAATTCATGTGTGTGTGGCGGGGTGCATGCATGTGCATATATGTATTTAAGATTGTAAAGTTGACTGAACGTAGAATCACCTTCAAGACAAGCCTCTAGGAGCACCCATGAGTCATTATTTAGATTAGATTCTGAAGACTTGTCTTTACAGTGGGTGCCACCATCCAGAGGGCTGGACCCTGAACTGAATAAAGTGAGTTGGGTACCAACATTCATTTCTCTTTGCTCCCTCATTATGGATGCAATGTGATCAGCTGCCTCAAGGTCCTGCTGCCCCAAGTTTTGTGATGTCATGAACTTCACTCTCAAACTGTGAGCCAAAAGAATATCCTCCCTGCAGTTTCTTTGGTCAGGATATTAGATCAAACAGGGAGACAAGTATCTGACCCTTCCAAATAGCTACATCGATAATTATTTTTTTTTAAAAAAATCCTACCTAGCATTAGTGATTACCTCCCATAGCTGCCTACATGTAGTTTCTCCTTCTGACAGTATTTTATTTCCTTTGTACTCCCACATTCCGAAGACCACATACAGCTAGGGCAGAACCTCATGTAGATGGGATGGGTATGTAGGAGGGAACAAGTGTCTGGACCCTCAAGTGAGCATGTAATGACCCTTCCTTCTCCCTCCTTCTATAAGGAAATATCAGTCAGCAATCCAAAACTTGCTGAGGGTCTCCTGTCAGTTACAATTGCAAATGAAAGAGCGGTGCCCATGTAATGCAGAGATATGGCAGTCCCTAGCATGGACTTCATCACTCTGTCTTTACTAACCCGACCCTGACTTTGCGTCTATAATTTCCATCTGAAAGCTAGATTTAACTGTCAGCTTGACACAATCTAAAGTCACCTGGGAGAAGGGCTTCTGAGAATGTCTGTGAAGGATTATCTTAGTCATGTTAACAGATGTGGTAAGATTCCTGCGCCCCCACTGCCACACCCCTTATGGATGCCACTGCTTCCCGGACTTGGACTGAACAACAGAGAAAGGTAGCTGAGCACCAGCATGGATCCATTCCTCTCTTCTGACTGCAGATAGAGTGTGGTCATCTGCGTCAAGCTCCTAATGCCTCGACTTCCCCATGCTGACGAATTGTACCTTAAACTATAAACCAAAATAAACCCCGTCCCCACTTAAGTTGCAGTTATTGGGGTATTTTTATGGCAATCAAAAAAGAAACTAGGACAGCTCCCCTGCCTTCTCTAAGAAGCATCCCTGTCTCCCAGACAGTGGGGTCCTTCACCATCAGCCATCACACACTGCCATGGACTGGTCCTGGAGGTGCCTGTCTGGCAGGAGGGAGAGAGGCAAGCTAGACTGTGCATGTCTCCTCTCACCTGCTCCCATCCTGCTGGGGGATGCTCAGCCAGGATGGAAAGCACACAGGACTCCCTGTGCCCCTTTAAGCACAGTGCTCTGGGGAGGGAAGAAGATGGGAGCTCCTGCAACCTCCACCCCTGCTCCCAGCAGGGAGGACCTGCAGCTGGGCCCTGGACTTCCTTATCTCAAGCTGGGGGTTGTGATTCCTGGGGAGAGGGTTAATGGAGGGAGCACTTGGCATTAGCTTTGCTCAGATCAGCCAGCACTGTGTCAGCACAAAGCTGCTGCTGCTCCTTCCTGGGAAGGAGGGAGCCCTGGTCACCCCACTCTCCCCCCTTCCTCCCACACTAACACACATTGATGCCTATCTCAGCAGAATCAGCAAGAAGTTTCTACTTCTCAATGTTGCGTTTTCTCTGCAGAAATCACTTTCAGACTTCATTTTGTCCTGAGCCCAGGTCCTTGTCAGTTGCCAGGTGTGAAACTGCTGTTTCCTGGCAGGACCATGTGGGGAAGGAGGGTGGTCTCCTGCCAGAGAACTTTGATGCTGAGGGAGGCTGCCTGAAATAGACGGGGCTAGTGGCAAAGGAGGTTTGTCTCACAGAAAACATTCTGTACCCCAACACACAGGTGAAACAGAAGATAGGAGGTTGTGAAATGGGTGAGATCATTTCACCTGTGATGAAATTTACAGGAGACATTGGAGTTGGAGTCATGGAGAAGATGCTCGTCAATCGCCCACTCCAAGGAAGAGAAGCAGCAGACATGAATATGATCAATGCATATTACACGCATGCGTGGGTATGTCGTAACCCCTCACTCTATACAGCATCTATGCCCTGGACTAGGAGGTCCCGGGCAGATGTTCCCACCCTCACAGTCTCCACCCTCTCAGACTACAGAAGGTCACGCCTGGTAAGATTTATGACATCCTGACACTCACTGACACCCCGCAATAGTTACAGGGTGTGGATGGAGGCAAAGGTCTATTGAACAGGGGGAGGGCTTTGAGCGACCTCATGTTTGGGGGATCTCATGTTAGAGAGTGAAAGAACTAACTCCAGTCAGCTTCAGGAAATGGGATGTGGCAACATTCAGGTCTGTTCCATACTGCAACAAAGAAAGGACTGTGAATCATAGAAGGGGTGAAGGACTGGCCTGATCTTGTCACAGAAACAGCTCCTACTCGGGGGATTTAAGGAAAGCATG